TCTTTCCTGCCTATGCAGGGGGTCAGACTCGATGATCTATTGAGGTCCCTTCTGACCCTAGCATGAACCTAGCATCTATTGAGGTCCCTTCTGACCCTAGCATGAACCTCTTCTAGAACACTTCAGTGATGGAGAGTCCACAACTTCCCTAGAAAGTCTATTCCACTGCCTCACTGTTCTGAGAGCAAAACACTTCCTTTGATATCCTACTCTGCTGCAACTTCAAGCCATTGTTATGTTTCCTACTCTCTTCAGCAAGAGAGAAAAGATATTTTCCCTCTTCTTTATGGAAGCTCTTCCAAGTATTTGGAAATTGGTATCAAGTCCCTTCTTAAGCATCTATTCTGCAAGCTGGACATGCCTAGCTCCTCTCCTTGTATGACTGACCTTCCAAGCCCTTTGTCATATTTGTTGCCCACCTCTGGACCCTCTCTGTCTTTTTTCAAATATGGAGCCCAAAACAGCACACAACACTCTAGCTAAGGACTAACCAGTACCAAGTAAAGAGGCACTATCACTTCCTGTGTCTTACACCTAATGCTTCTATTGATGCAGTCCAAAACTACAGTTGCCTTTTGTGTGGCTACATCACACAGCACACTCATATTGAGTCTGTGACCAATAGAAACTCCCAGATCCTTCTCCATAGCGTTGTCATCCAGCCATGAGTCATCCATTTTGTATTTGTGTTTTTGATTATGCTTCTTGAGGAGTAGCACCATGCATTTGTTAGGACTGAACGTCATCCTGTTAGGTTCAGCCTAGCTTGCTAATCTGTTGAGATCCCTCTGAATTGTGCTCCCATCTTTCAGTCCTTCCCACTTTTGTGTCATTTGCAACCTTACTCAAGAAACTTTCTATGCCAGTATCCAAATCATGAATAAATACATGGGACAGTGCTGGGCCCAAGACAGACTCGACTCCAAACCTCTTGCCATCCCGACTAGGATCTATTTATAATTACCCTTTGCTTGTGGTTACCGAGCCAGTTGTCTATCCACCTTATAGTGGTTATTCTCATAAACAAATTGGAAAAAATGTGGGATAGACAGGGAATGTGGGACCCTGTCAAACGCCTTGCTGAAGTCCAGAAACGCTATATCCACAGCATGCTTTCCTCCACCAGTTACTTTGTCAAAGCAAGAGATCAATGTGACATGGCAGTGCAGCTTTCAGCATTTTTAAGTCTTTTTTTTTTCCACCCCCCCATAGACAAGCTTCCCTCCTTCAGGGCCTGCTTTCTAAAAGCTTAAAGCTAGAACTGGAAATAAAATTTTACAGTAAGGGTCCAAAAATATCTGGTAGTAGATACCCATCACTAGCTACAGACAATGCGATAAACTGCAACTGTCCTATGCTCAATTCATATATACAATACACCAAAAATAAGCTTGCAGTTGCACTTTCCAATTCCAAATTTTATAACATCACTCACGTGTATTTCATCAGTCTGCCCCCTTGGATAAGTTGTGCACATTCATTAGTTAAGTGACACGCAAACAAAAGCCAGTTTCTTGGTTGCACCTTATAGGCAAACCTCATAAAAGTCAACGAGTAACAACACAGTGCTGTAAAAACAGAGAAGACAGCATGTCAGTGGTTTATTTTTAAGGACACTGTGAATTAAAAAGAAAAAAAAAAAAGCTATATTTTGTGACACCATGTTTATGCCATCAATACTAATTTCACAGCAAACAACTATTCAGTGATGTAGCAAGGCCATTTTCATAAAAGGGAAGGATCTCAGCCCATGCCAACCATTCTACAACATTCTTCTCACCTGCTCTTCAGCTGAACATGCACAGTTGTTGCAATACAAACACAGAATTAGAAACCCCCACAATGGGTTCCCCTTCTAAACCCCAAGTAAAATTTGCTCCATTTAGGGTCAAATCAATCCCCCAGGAATCTTCTTTTTCTTTTAAAGACTTAAATGTGAACTCACAAATCTGCAACTATGTTGACATCTTTCTAGCCAAACCCATCTAAAACATGGGAAAGTTTAACACAGGTTTAAAAATGGGACAAAGGTTATCCTCTCAATAAGCCACATTTCCCAACAAGAAAAGTTAAAGTGGGTTAAAGTATAACTTTAACAATCTGAACCTTCACTTAAGTGCACTTATGGCAGGGAGTAGAAAGTTAAAATCCAAGGACAGTTGTAGAGTAAAACCTTGTTTTTAGATGAAAGTTCAGAAGCAAAAAATGTATTTTGTAAACCTTGGTGAAACAGCTCTTGATAACAACAGAGCTCGACTCCGAGGAGAAAAGTTATTTGAAAAGAAGCATTTACTTTTCTAGAAGCAAGAATGGGGAAGAACAAATGGTTTCCACTTATTTGTATAAGGTGTCTTACATAAACTCATAGCAATAATGCTGTGGGAAGAGAACAAGTACAGCACAGACAGCTAATTGTTGCAATGCTGTCAGAAGGCAGGCGACTGCACTACTAAATGAGAAAACTTAGTTACATAACCTTTAGCTTGAGAAAAAGGGCTCCATGTATACTGTACAACAGTGATGCTCACTCTTTCGGCCTTGTAGGCTGAAAGTGACATGGTGGCAGTCCATGGGGTTGGGCCCTATATTGCTCAGATCCTGCCCCATGCCACCCAGATCCCGCATGCCTGATCTAGTGTGCAGGGCCATTCTATTAGCCTACAGGGCTCCTCCTGGGTCCGAAAATTTGCTAGCTAGGGAGCAGCAATTAATGCTGTCATCACTTTCCTGCTGCCAAATTTTCAGACCTGTGGGCCGGATGCCAACCTGCAGGCCAGGGGGTGAGTACCCCGATCTACGCTAGTTAAATGAACATTGTGCTGTAGTGCACGTATAGAGCAAAGTCCTATTTAAGAGTTGTGTAACTTCACTACTTTAAAATCCTCCTCCAAAAACTAAGGCTATTTTAGCTGCACCTCTCCCCATATGTAGTGGGCAGAGTTTCAACAGTGACTTGAAGCTCCCATTTTATATGAGCAACACATTTTAAAGTGAAAAGATGAAACACGCAAGTGCAACAATGTTTTCAGTAACCACTCAGTGTCAGTAGAGAAGATTTGGAAGGGCTGAACAAAGTGACACTTCAGTGCTTTCCCAAATGTTACCATTAATTAAGACAAGACAACAGACCCTTTGCATAGTTTCAGGGGATGGGGAAGAATCTGATCAACATACAGATGAGTAAATTAAGGAAAGAGGTTAGCCAAACTATAAATATGTGCATTTATGTATTCTAAAAGCTGTATATTACACAGTTAAAATGACTTATAATGCAGGGAGAAAGTAAAGTAAAATGAAAATGTATCAGAAGAGGAAGCAAAACAATACACATATCAGAGGGAAAAAAGACCCTTGACAGTAAAAAAAAAAAAAAAGAAATGTATTTTTAAGAAGTAGATATTCTAAATGCACAAAACAAAGACGACTCATTTCACTACTCTTCCAAGAGTATTTACCAGCAACCTTTGAGACCAGTGTTACTCTCTGAAACCAGCTTATTTTGCTTTGCTAACAGCATTTCAAATTTTAAATGATAAATCCTTTCAGTTCTCTACTTTGCCAATACTGTAACTTAAAATCCTGTATCACAAGTAGCATCAATGAAAGTCCTGCTATTGGAAGGATAGGACAAGAGTTAATATAGATGATTAGTAAGAAAAAAAGATGTGGAACCAACTTTCCAAGAGTAACTAGTAATTCTGGGTACCCAGGTCAACATTCTTCAAGGTCTTCATATACCCAAATTACAGCTCATTTCTTCTGGAATATAGGGCTCCCATAAAAGGTGTCTTAAATGACACACCAAAAAACTGAAGTTTAGTTATTTTAAAGTTGCACATTATACCATTTAAAATGTAACAAGCATCTTCCTTTAACAACCAGCTAGCACACAGATTAAAATTAGAACTATATTTAAAGAGAAGCACTTGAGATTTTTTTGTAGACTTTCAATAGTTTCCTGAGATTAAGTCTAATTATTTCAAACACAGGTCTTACCAAATGTCATTCGGCCACTAATGATCTCTGGAGATTTCTTCATATCATTAATAGCAGCGATAGGAAGTCCCCAGTTAGCTACTGGCCCCCAAAAGTGCTGAAAATAAAGAAAGAAAAAGGAAAATTGACTTTTTTTTAAATCACGCAGAATTCTGGAAAGGTAGCATCACGTTAGAGCTGACTTTCAAGTTAGAATACAGAGAAGTTTCAGGCACATAATGGGAAAATGCTGGCCTATTTTATATAATATTTATATTCTTCACTACAGGGAAAATCCCAATATCCTCAAGTAAATAGGTTTAACACAGTTCCGCCTATGAAGAGGATGTGAGCAAAACAAACCAACCATTCGCAGGCCATCAATTAACAGCACAACTATTCTGCGGTCAGCACTGTAACCTCACATCTAGAAGACAGCTTACCACCCAACTTAATGTGCATCTTATTTGTTAGAGACTGATCTCTAAACTGCGAGTCTAAGTCAATAAAGGTTGGAAAAAACCCTCAGTTTATGAACTGAGGGGTCATTTTAGGGTGAAGGATGGGCAGGTTGCAACCATTATGTTAGATCTTGAGGTAAATCACACCACCTTAAACCTGCTGGACAGGAGCAGCATTCCATTAAAGCTACAGCAAAATAGAATGATGGAAGACTGCTGCTTGAGGACCAGGTTGCACACAAGCTTGAATACTGGCTGGGAAGCCACAGGGATTTCCCAGAGGTCCAGTAAATCAAACACCTATTCTCTGGGTTTAACTGAAGCTCTGCAGTGCTAGTGGCTACATGCATGAAAAAGCCATGGTTGGAGAAAGGAACAACAAAGCTGAAGAAGCACTGAGAGCGACCGAGAAAAGAGCAAAGGATTTTTGGGGCAGGATGTTTGCTGAGAAAGCTTAGCACCATGAGCAGAGAAACTGCCATCTGTTTGATTTTTACTTTGGGTAGGGAAACAGGACTTTGTACATTCTTTGGTGCAATCCTGTTTGTTTGCAGACTATCAACTTGTCCTTCTATAGACAAAGACATGACCCCTCAAAATGATTAGCCACTTAGGTCAGATGGGATAAATAGGAGAGCTATAAACTGGATACTTTTCCCCCGCCCCCAGGACAATCTAGAGACCTTTACAGTTAACAGAGTCATTCTTGTATCTATTTGAAGATGATATTCCAGTAACTCAGTATCACTGGAATCAGGGAAAAATGAGGTTCTTCACGTGTAATTATTCTTTCTTAGCAAATTGTGAAGAGATGAATAGTTGGCCAAGAAAACGCATCAGCATCAGAATCACTGAATTCAAATCTAACAAGACAATCACTGGTCACAAACCATGAGAATTAAGCTAGTAGGACATTTCATTTGTACCTCAATGGTAATGACTAGCTAAAGACAGATGTGCTATAATGGCACTTACCATTCTGAGATTCTACTTCCAGATGACATTTGCTATAGTTAGAAACACAGTGGTGGAAATTCAGTAACAAATAGAATTTTGTTATTTTGGGGTGGGAGTTGCATGTGATCAATTTATTTTAAGAGTCTCCAAGCTCAGTCTCATAACCATAGCTTATTTGTGACTGGACGTACATTTCTGAAGTTTGGTCTCTTTATGGGGGCTTCTTTACAAGTCTTTTACTAAAACTTGAGAGTCTTGGAACTTGGCAATACACTTCCTCACATAAGAGTCAAGCCAGTTCATAAATTTACAAGTGACTAAAATTAAGTAAAAAAGTTTTTTTCCTTACCGTACTATTTGGTGAGCAATAATCACGGTTCATAATTCAGATGATGCATAAAAAGAGAAGAACAGAGTTAGTTTCCTTCAAAAATCAGTGTCAAACTATTGGTTTGCAATGGAACAAGACATCAGTAAGGCTGATTAGTAAGGCTCAATTAAATTTTAGTACTCAAAATGAAAATGATTACAACAGTTTTCCCCATGTAGAAAGACAATTTACCTAACAAGTGCAATCTTTCCATTATGTAACATAGAAGAACCTTATCCTGGTCCCACTGTCGTCAGTAAAAGTTTCATGATGGACTCAAGTGGGTTCAAGATTTGACCCTGGGCCTTTAAAATCAAAAGCATGGCACAAAAGAGTCTAAAGGCCTTCACCCAAGCAACAAGCTGAGACAAAAGTCAAAGAGTTCAGCTTGACTGGTTGCCAAAGAGAATTCTGATATTACAGAGATGAAGCAACCAAACTTAAACTTCAGTAACACTGAACAATTTCAATCGACAACTTCTATAACCTGTGCCTTTAATTGAACTCGATGCTCAGAGCATGTTATGATTCAATTGCCCATGTCTGAATGCTAGATAACAATGTATGTTTAAGATCATCTGCCATTATGTAACGCGAGTTACGCTCTTAAGCAGTCAGAGATTTGAAATCGCAAAGCATTGCCTTGAGCAGTATACCATTCACTCCCATGGTAACACACCCTTACAGCCACATACAAAGGCAGGCGGTGGTGCTAAATACATTGCTTTTACTTAAGTAAGAGTTTCCAAATGCAATAGCCTGTTCACAACCAACACATATTATGGCATCTTTAAGGTGGTAGCCTTTGCTTTTGTAGTCATACTGGATATACATTTCTCTCAAAGCTCCTGATGTCTTCCATACTTTGTAACAAGACACCTTATGGACAATGCTGCAGCAATCCCACATGGAAGCTTGTTACGAAACTATTTTATGACTACAGTTTTTCAAAATGACACAAATCTTTAGACATTTTTGACAGAAGCATGGCAAGCTCCTTGAGCACCCTGGGCAGGGTTGGGGGCAGGGATTATGCCATCCACTGGAAGTTAGACTTACCTGCCTGGTCTTCACATTCAGACAGTAACTGTGTGGCCTCAAGCTGTTGCTGCTGGGGGCAGGCTCATCTCACACTGGCTGCAGCAGCCCCTGAGATCCCCAGGAACTGCCCCTGGTGCCCCATGCACCCACCTAACACCAATGTTATTAGGTTCTGGGTTGTGCCTGCCTTAAAGTCTCCTAGAGGGGATGGGGTACAATAGCAGTATAAGGTTTGCCCCAAATAGCCACAATACTTCAAGGGATGTTCTTGCCTGAGGCAGAGGGTTGGACAAAATGACCTCTGGAGGTGCCTTCCAGCCCTATTTCTCTATGATTCTAAGTACAGGCAGTCTTCAGACTTACGACACAATTGATTCCTGAAAACCACATCTTAAGTCGAAAGGCCATAACTTGGAACTGATTTTCCCATAGGAACAATCTTATAAATGGGGGATTGGTTCCTGAACCAAGGCCTGATACCCTATTTTCACGGAAAATAACCCAGAATTTTATACTCAATCAATTATAGATGAGCAACATCTATATAGCTACATTCATGTATTTATATTGTAAATAGAAATCATATTGATTTGGAAGGACTTCTTTGAGGTGACTTTGCTGGACTTTTTGAAGGGTTCTTGGCTGGAGTCTTCTCAGGAGTCTTGGCTGCAGGTTTTTCTGGAGTCTTGTCTGCTTTCTTAAAGAAAGTGTCCGAGGAAGTTTGGACAGATGCTCTCCAGGGAGATGGGTGATGCAGTGAACTTGTTCACTGTGGTGTCAATTTATAAACGTCATAGGTGCTGTTTGTTACAACTCAAAATGTCTTAAGTCAAGGACTGCCTGTATAACTAAAAGGTTGGATATAGCTCTCACAAGAAAATGTGGACCATTTTGGAAATTTGAAGTTCTTTTTAGAGCATCCCTACAAAAACTAGTATTTGTACTGGAGACTACAATATAAACTAAAAAAAATTACTCTGATACAGTAGCACAGATTTGTATTTAATTTTCAATTAAATACTGTTTTATGCTACCACACAATTTAAAAGTAAAACCTCAGGTAAATTATAGGAGTTATTGAATAAAGCTAAAGGTTCTGATAGGTGGGCTTTGGGCACTTAAGTGACAGATGAGACTTGTGATAAGTTTATACCTACTATTTCACTCTTTTTGGAACCACAATCACTTGACTTCTCCCAGACCAGAGGAAGAAAGCAAGAGATAGAGACCACTACAAACTACCCATCTATCTGCATCCATGGTACAGCCAAAAACTGCTAAATGTAAGCAATCAGACTATCAATAATGAAACCTATTCATGAAGGCTGAGAGGGATGACTAGGATAATTAGTTGGTCTAATAAAAGATAACGGATTTACCCAAAGAACCTTGTCTGCCTTGGATATTTAACACTTTTCTGTATACACTCTAAAAGATAACACTCAAATACCTCCACCACACAAGGGTAGAAAGTTTTTCAAAATGTGAAATCTTTTCTTTGCAATTTTATTGCAAATCCTGAAGTCCATCAAGTTGTCTTTAATCTATTTTTCTTTGCAACACACTAGGAGAGAAAAAGGCCTTTACAAGTACAGTAAAAAGTTATACAAGGCATTTCTTTTCTCAGATGAAAAGCATTCTAGGATGAAAGTCATTCCTGGCAAGAGGTAGTTTCAATTTATACCACCTTAAATAAAATTGTATCTTTTTATGCAAGGAGTGGCCTGTATTTTTAAAAACCGATTAGGGAAGGACTGGAAGAATCCAGGTTACAGAGTTTGAAGGGGATCCCCCCACAGGGGATTAGATTTGGCCTGCAGGTAGGGACATGTGGGTAGGTTAAAAGAAAGGCAATTATCTTCCTGGGCAGAAGAAAACTTTTCCCAAGCCAAGAAACTGAAAGATCCTTTCCCACCCCCCTCATCTTAATGTTTGCATAACTTGGCGCCAATCAGAAAGATTAGATACTCAGATTGCAATAAAGGCCACAACTAGGCTGTGCCCCCATAGTTGTAGGCACTACACTAACATCAGTGACAACCTCTCAAAGAACTTCTACTTTAAGACATGAGCATTTGGTAATGGGTGAATGAGACAAGTGGACCAGAATAATAAATAGAATGTGCATGATTTTGTCAGACACTGGTAGAGATCATGGCTCTCTGCTGACTTTCTCATTTGAAGCTTGCACTTTACTGTTTGCATCAAGAAACAAACAACTTTTGAGGAGGGTCTCAAACAAAAACCACGGTAAAGTGTTTGTGAGTTTGGACAGGAACCTGTTCCATCCTTTTTGTAAGAGATGCCATGGGAATAAGTGTGAAAGTGCTTGTTAAAAGAAGAGGCAAGGACCTCTTACGGTGCTATCTTTTATTATCCCAACTATACATTAAAATATACCACCCTAAGAAATCCTTGCCCCTTTCAAAATTCCTGGACTATCATGGCTACAACATCACTCTAACACTACCTTGCTAAAGGAGTAACAAGAGGCTGGCATCACTGGGCCAGTACAATCAGTACTTTTTAAAATTAGAAGTGCAAAATAAAGCTGTAGTATGTTGCAGAGAGCTTTGTAAGCAAGGAAAAAAAGTTGAATTTGGGGCACTTGGAACAAGAGTAACAAATAGTAATTGACATACTTTGAGCTAAATGCCAAGATCTTAACAGCAGCATTTGGAATGGATTTGAAAGCCAGGATAATTCAAACAAGGTTCTTTGGATAAAGCTGATATCCTTTTCAGTTGATTTAATAAAAGATATCAGATTTCCCAAAGAACCTTGTCTGCTTTTGTCCTTAGACCAACACGGCTACAACCAAAACCCCTGAAACAAGGATAATTCAGAGCACTGAAAACCATGTCCTATTTAATAGAGGCGCACTAATACATCAGCCCAATATTGTATCGGCACTGATATAAAGAAAATTGACTGTACTGGAGATCGGCCTGATGTGGCCGATAAGTTGGCTGATAAATGCCTGTGCATGCGTGCAGCACGAGCACAGCCTGGTGGCTTAGGGAGCTGTGTCCAGCTAGTAAATCTGGTGTGGCGCAGGGGAGGGGCAAGGGAAGGGGCGAGTGGGGGGACAAATCAAGGCCCCTGTGGTGAGGGAGGGAGGGAGGGAGTGGGGTAAGGGCTGGGGCAGGCGTGGAGCAGGAGGCGACTCCCGCTGCTGCGTGCAGCTCAGGAGGGCACGGAGGGGACATGTGCCTCCCAATCTGCAGGGGCAGGGGGACTGCCATTGCAGGCTGGGGCCGGGGCGATGCCTGGCTCTTCCCAGTGCATGGGGGTGTTGGACCAGGGCTGCGCTTGGGGTGGGCAGCAGCAGTGCTGAGGAGTTATGGGGGACTATGGTGAATTTTTGGGTGGCTGCAGCTCCCCCCTGTAGCCCCCTCCCAGGGATGCTGCCACCCACCCTGAGCGCAGCCAGGCCCAGCC